GAGATTGTGTGCAGCTGGAGGAGTATCTGATTTAGAATAGAAGCAACTGTGAGTCTTGAACTCCCAGCAGCTAAAATGTACAATGAAAGTATGTGCATAATCAAACTGACAGTATTGTAACAGAAATACTGCTAAGGCTGACTAAATTACAGCAGCAACTGAGCTGGTATCTCTAGTGGTACTAGTAAATGGATGATAACTGTCACTGAAGCATTTGAGAGATCTTAATACTTACTGTATGTGCATTTATCTTTTTCATTAAATGACAAACTGTACACAAGGGTTCATTCACACAGGGGCAGAAGTCCATCCAACGTAAAAACATACAGATCTCTGTGCCCAGGAGCCACAGGTGTTGCCTACAAATCAATGGCAGGCTGTAGCTGTACACTGGTAAAACATCATATGTATACTTGAGTACAATGTATGTTTATTTAAGCCTTTTTTATGTACATTTCATATGTGTAGGTACTTTGCAGCAGGAGACTTGTAGCCAAAAGCACACATTTCGATGGGGCTCAGCTATGATCTAATTTATGGCTATCTAGCTTGATCTTCCAGGGTCCCACTTAGCGTGATATGGGGGGGGGGGGGGGGGGAGACTTACAAAGAAATGGTTTTTTTTGGAATCTATCTGTAATAATTTATATTATTTTTGGTATCTTTACCTGCCGGTTCTCTCTGGCGATAACGACCAGCCTTTTCATCTATGCTAACTGCAGCCCTAGCTCTGACCACTCTATATGGTACTCATGTTACTGTTATTTTAGCTAATCTTTACTATTTGTCTCTATTATCACTTATACTCATTTATTTTGTTACTGATGTGATTTTGTGTTGTTAATGTAGCTGATACCCGCTTGTGCGATTTCTTCGGTGTGCTTGCACAGCTAGTGTTGTGTCTGAGGACTAGTTTGTGCCATTTCTTCAGTGCACTGCACTCTCTGCCATGTGACCATTTTAGCACAGTTCGGCCTGAGAGTGGCAGTACATTCTGTTATCTTCTAATGTTCTCTGCAAAAACAGCTGTCTGTGGAAATGTAGTGAATGCCCTAATCTTGGAAAGATGAAACCACAGGTCTGTAGTGTTTGGGGGAGCGGGTACTCTATTCAGTTTTAGCCTTTTATTATTTTCACGTTATAAATTCACAATGACTATGTGTAAACTATTACAGTATACGTGCTTCCTCCTATAAACTCTAAAAAAAGAAAAATCAAAGATACGTAACAAATAAGTTATAATCATTTTTATTCAGGTTAGAAATTCTATCAGTGTTTGAACATTAATATTTAGAGAGTTTGTACAAATTTTCATTTCCAATGTTTGAAATGTAAAACCACACTAGATCTCAAACAATGATACACATTCTGTATGGCGAGAGTTATAATGGTTTCTCTCTCTCTCTCTCTCTCTGTGGTTAACCCGTTCTCTGATGGAATGGTGGAGCAATGCCCTATGCATGTAGGTGTCTTGCTGGCCAACCCATAGCCATGAAAGGGCTAAGCAGTATTTTGTCTGGCGTAGTTTAAAAGTAAGTGTGCACTGTACCCAAGTTTCATGTCTCACAAATGGTATCAATACATATAAACTCTTTTAAAAATATACTTTTGTCAAAAAAGACTTGATGACTACTATGTACACTACAAAAATAAATTTTCATATAAATAAATTATATGGCATATGTTTATCTTTGTAAATGAAATGACACAAAACTCATGCCTGCCAGAAAAAAAGGCAGGACACGAGACCCAGTTTGAATAATTTTCCTTTTTAACTCCTTAATCTAGAAAGCTATGAGTCTTTATTGTAAATGTTATATACTCTCTCCTATTTAACATTAGTAAGAACTCTATACAAATAAAAATTCAATTAAAAGTAGCCAATTAAAAGGAGCCCATAGCTGTAATAGTCTTTCCAATAGAAATTAAAAAAAAAAAAAAGATCCCTGCATTGTTTTGTTATAAACTGGCATGACAAATACTGTAAGAACACATTCTTAATATACAAAAATATAAATATTAAAAATAAAAAAAAAGAACAAAAAAACAAATATTTGCCAGCTATGGTTCTCCCTTTGCCAATGTGACTATAGGAGATATATAAAGTCTATACTGTGCAGAAGGCAGCAGACACACTAACAAGGGAGAGGGAAGATATTTGGCAGTGTAAGGATGTAATGTGGTACTTGGAAGGGTGAGCAATGAAAGGCACTACATTGCAGGTATGGCATGATAGCACAGTATTGCTCCCATCTTTATATTAAGGAATGCTTAAATGGTCAACAATAAAACTGTCACCTAACAGTTAAAGGAGACCTGTGTGAGAAAAATACGTAGGTTGCCGCTGCTGACCTTGCTTTGTGAAAATGATAGTTTCCTGGCTGTTATGAAGATCCTGTGGGTTCGCTAGTTTCTAACCTAACAAATTTACTCAGATCAGGATCTGCAACCTTGCTTGAACTTCACCTACTGCATATAATGTATTAAAGCCAGAGACAGCTAGGCAAGCAGCATTTTCAGAAGAAGGCCCTGTTATTTGTCCCGTGTTTTCATTTGAGGTGGAATATCAGTATAAAACACATGCATTTTAAAATGCTTCTCATATAGCTGCCTGGAATCTAGCTTTATATGTTTTGCCCTGTCACCTGCACAGCAGAAATCAGAGAATGGGAAGTTAAACGCGGTGAGCCATTCGGGCCAAATGCTGCTAATCCGATGGGTTTTTATGGGGTTTAAGCTGAACGGGGAGGGGAAGGAAGAGAGCACATAGTGGACCTCAATAGAGTGATAAACCTCCTAATAGTCCAATAAGTAGGCAGGTGACACAGGAATCCACAAAGGTGCAGTATTGAATAGCGGGGTTACCATTCAGGCTGTACAGTGCGGAATCACAGTATTTGGGCAGGTAAAACAGTCCACATATGTGGACACAGGACCTCATATATGACAGAGTCTGAAAGATGGCCCTTACTCACATTGTGGGCACAAGGCTAGCTTTATGTTACAAAATGGAGGGCAAGCCTTCAAACTTGTCAAATGATATATCTCTAGCTTATTTTAGAAACTCTATTATGTTAACATCCTCAAAGCTTTTGCATGATGTCATTTCTAAAAGGGATGTGCCTGCTGCAAAGAAACAACGCATTAAGTACAATGAAACTGGCCTTTTTACCCCTGGTAAGTAGTAAAATCTACTACGCACAGCATATATTATAGGCACTTATAAACCGGATCCATTTTTTGCAGTAAATCCAAATACTGGTAATGGTATGCCAATATGCAGGCAAACCAGTGGAGCAAACTGGAATGGATGCGAGTTTGAGAAACTATAGCTAGGTTTTGTTCAATAGAGCGGGGCTTATAGGTATCCCAACTTTCAGTACTGGAATGCTCTCCCCTAGACTGGAACTTCATAATAATCTTTTGGAGAGAGAATTGAGCATGTGATTACCTAAATGACTATTTGCTTGAATCTCGAATGAATAAATAAACCACAGGAAGTTTAGAGCATCACCGTGCTATGCATGCCTGTTAGTGGGGTGAAGGTAGTTTTTCAGGTTGTGTCATATGGTTTAGCTTGAAACATGTACATATTAGTACTATGTGGTTACTACACTGCAAGCACACAGGGCAATGTTTGTGCTGTCAATGGCAGTTTGCAATCTGCATTGATGGCAGTGATCTGAACACCAAGATGTTTATGGAGGTCTCAGTGTGCTTATGTAACAATAGCTTATAATGAAAAGGAAAGGCAGCTACGTATTTCTTGTTAGGTTATTTCAATTTCCTTTTTTTTTTAACAAGTGCCTTAATGATTTAAGTATCTCAAATAAAACTTCCTCTATGACAAAGGAGCATGCAATGTGATGCACTGCAACCCAACGATGGCACAAGAAGAAATACAGTATATCCAAGTATGAAAAAAAAAAAAAATCTTAACATTTGAATTAAATTAATAGTATAAAGGTAAACTCTGAGCAACAACATATCTATGTATGTAAAAGAGGAAGGGAGGTAGATAGGGAAACCTTTTACATTTTGTTTAGAGACAAGAAACACAACAAAACAGAATATTAGCACCAACATGAAGAGTGGGAAACATAAGCCATATAAAATGAGTAAAACAAAGTTCTCCCCTTTCATTGCTTGAAGTGCTTTCACTTACAAGACGGGAGAGGCAATGTTTGGCAAACCACTTACTGGAGAATGGTCATGGAGGTGATGGCTGATCCATCCATGCAACTGGCCTAGCACCACAGAAGCTTGCAATTTAACAGCAGTGAGGATGCCAAATATTGCCAATCCCCACCTCATAAAGGGACATAAGGGGAAGAGTGAGCTCTTTGCACATCACTTATCTGCTAATGAGGATGTAAGTCTTCTAGTAAGTGCTCATGATGGAGAGGAGACCTTGCAGGTTGTACATAAGCACACCAAGACTATGCACAGTGGGACAGACTGTACAGTAAGTTATCACATGAGACAGGTGCACACAAGGACAGGCAAGGAACAACATCAGCTAAGACAAATTCTTCATATCTGTCTGTCTGAAAGAAAAGCAATACTCACGCATAGCGTGTTTGAAAATGATCAGTAACATACTACCACAGGGTTGTGATATGAACATTAAACATCAAAACGCAAAACTTTTACACATATAAACACCTATTATATAAGCAACATTTGCATAGAAATTATACAAGTCCATTATACAATATTGAAGCAGCAGAAACAAATAATGCTGAATCTTATATCTAGATTAATTAAACCATGTGACACAGATCCTGTACATTAAGTAGAGAGGGCAAATCAGCTTTGCTCCATCTGTTAAAAGGAGTCAGGAAACTCCGCCGTTATACTAACTTTACACGATTTTCTGTATATTACATATGTATACACCTTTTAAATATTTTTAAACAATATTTAACACATTTGTACAAAAGATTACAGTAACAGTGAGCTGTTGTCTTGATGCAGCATGTCCATTATAGAAAACCTCCAGCAGCTTTCAATAACCAGTCTGGAAGTTTTGTCCCGTCTTTGGCCGTCAATGATTCAGAATGTGTGGACTCTGTAGGAAAAAAAATTTGAAATGGTCAGTCTTTTTAGAAACTAGAAAATCAGCATCATTTGTCAGTCAACACTACTGTGGATTGTTTGTACTTCCCCAAAGCAAACAAAGGCATACCTGAACTGGACGTTGACAGCTGAATATGCAAGTTTGAATATATTTGCTGGCCATGAATATGACCATACATGTCACAATGGGATTGTAAAGCCTTCTAATGATTTACCAGGAACTAGGGATGCACCAATACCAAGTACCGGACTCGGTACAAGTACAAGTACGGATACTTTTCCTGCTCCAAGACTAGACTAGAGAAAAATTCAGAAGTTAGGAGGCAGCTATCATTTGTAAGGAGCACACGGAGCTCCTGGGATTTGTACATCTCTTTTTTAATAAACACACTTAAGGGAAGCACCGATACCATTTTTGCAAGTACAAGTACTGATACTTGTCCAAGTACTCAGATACGAGTACTGATACATTTTTGTTTATGGTCATGGGACAGTTTTTCTAAAACAATACAGACTAATGATTTCAGGAAAGTGGTGGAGCGCCAGAGCCCGGTCCCTGCTGCAACCCTGGTAGTCCTCGTGAAAATGCCAAGTATCGGCACTGAACTGGTATCTGAATCGGTATCTGAACATCCCCACAAGGAACTATGTAGCGTGAGGGTCTAACCTAATTTATATCTTGTCAAATAGACCCTAAAAACACAGAGTGGTTGGTAGATCTAAAGGAGATTGTACAATAAGATTGCAATGGGAATGGCCAGCTTGAGGCTTTGTGCACACAACCTTTTCAGTTGGATATAACAGCAGGAATAAAGACCGAAGGAACATGCAGGCTTTTTTTAACAAAAACAGAGATTACAATAAGTAAAAGGCTGAGCAAATGAACAGAGCACTGAAATGAAGTGTATTTTTATTGCCACAATTTATGACTGAATATTGTGCCACGGGTGGATACGTCCACTCACTTTTAAATGTTTTCTTGAACTTTCAGCCTTGTATGTTTTTTTTTTTAGATTCTATTTCAAAAGTCATCCCACAAAACTAGAAATTACAAAGTACAGTAATACCTTGGTTTACAAGTAACTTGGTTTGAGAGTGTTTTGCAAGACAAGCAAACATTTCTGAAAAATGTTGCCTTGATATACAAGCAAATGTCTTGCAATAAGAGCAAAATTTTGTAGAAAAGCGCCACCCGAATAAGGCTGTAGCTGTGTGAGCGATGATGAGACTGTTTAACGACAACACAATGTCACATTGAAGAGATTCCTTGTTAAGGTTTCACAAAATGAAAAAGATTCCATTGAGTCAAGAGGTAGCAGTGATTCCGTTAGTGATAGTGAAAGTCGTCCTGCACAATAATCCTCCCCTCTCTCTTGTCCCCCTCACACCAACCACGAAGGTACCGGTAATTGGTTTATTTTTCTTTATATTTTGTACAGTATTATATTACAGTACAGTATTGACATAATTTTATATGAATATTTTTGGGTTGTGGAACGAATCATCTGAATTTCCATTATTTCCTATGGGGAAATTCGCTTTGATATACAAGCGCTTTGGATTACAAGCATGCTTCCGGAACGAATTATGCTCTTAAACCAAGGTATTACTGTAAAACAAAAGAAAGGTAGGGCCCCACACTCTTTTGCTGCCACTGTGTTTATTGAAGAGGTTACATCAAATGTCAGATTGGCATAGAGTTGGCGTTCTTTGTGCATTAGCATCCAATCATAAGAGCACAAGCCGTTGTTCTGTTTTGTGCGTTAACACTTAACTGTAAGGCATATGCATTATGATGAAGTGCTAATGCAGGCAGAGCATAAAGGCTCTGCCAGACTGACATTTGATGTGAGGTTTACAATAAACACAGCTGCAGTTGGTGCAGCTCTGACATTGCATGTATGCCTTGCTATAGGGACTGAACTGAAAAAAAAGCCATGTGTTTTCCTTTACTCTCCACTTACTGCAATATATAAAAGAGGTAACTGGCACGAACAGAACTGCAGCATGGTGTATTATTTTAAACATGGAGGAAAACAAAGGATAGGAATTGTAATGCTGATGTTCATGGGGGCAAAACAGGTAGGTAAAACATCTACACAGTGCTTACATTATTTATTATTATATAGGTTTTATATAGCGCCAACAGTTTGTGCAGCGCTTTACAATATAAGGAAGACATTACAATCACAATACAATTCAAGACAACATGGTAAGGAGGGCCCTGCTCGTGAGGGATTACAATCTCCTGCCTATGACCATTCAGAGACAGACAGAGGTCTTGGAAACACTCCAATTTAGCCAAATCACTATCACAGTACTCAGGACAGTGAATATACAGTATACTGGGTTGCTTATAATACTCATGCTTACCAGCGCTAACACACACTGTAAGTCAAGGTTGGACACTACTAAGAATATTGTTTTCTTTTAATATGCCATTATGAAAAGGTGGTCTACATCCCACCAAGATAATAAGGGCTCTAGGTAGAATTCGGAGAAGGAATCTCTGAGATTTTCCTACAAGAGCCTAGACCGCTATAAGCATCTTCAGCGCTCTACCCCTGCATTCAGCGAATCACTACGTAGAAGTAGCCACTCGCACACCTAGGTCCAATGCATCAATCCGTCCTTTTATTGACATCAGATACACATGGCGGCTTGCGTACAAAGCAACGTTTCGGAACCTAGCATGGTCCCTGCATCAGGCAAGAAGCACAGTGCCTGATGAAGGGACCATGCTAGGTTCCGAAATGTTGCTTTGTACGCATGATGCCATGTGTATCTGATGTCAATAAAAGGACGGATTGATGCATTGGACCTAGGTGTGCGAGTGGCTACTTCTTCTACATTTGGATTTGTGCGGCGTCATCCGCATGTCATTCAGCACCCTCCATTGTATTACCATGACTCCGGTCTGACAGTGCAATGGGACATGAATGAACAGCTAAACAGTATGTCGCTAGACTTGTAGACCTGAAATGATTCCTATTCCAGATTTGTCTGACTGGGTCCGTTTTATTGTATGACATTTTGTCCAGGCAAAACTTTTTTTTTTTGTTTGTTTACATTAGTTGTTTAGTTTACTTTATGGTATCCTGCCCATTTTTGGATATATACCTTTTCTTCCTATCCCAAAGACAAAACAGAAAGTGAGAGGCATTCCCCCACTTAGACAAGTGTCTCCTGCTAAGTTTTTATTGTTGTCTGTATTTCCATGGGGAAGATTTACCCTCACTATTTGTCCCGGTGACCATTGCTGCCAAGAAAGAGATGGGAATTCAAACATTTACAGCAGTCACCAGAAAAAGGGGAAAACTTCCATTGGGGACATGTCTTTCTGTAAAAACTGCCAAAAAGGAAGAATTCCCCTCACTTTAGAAATGTTTTCTCTCATTTCCTGTTGTGTCACCAAGTAAAGGTAAATCTCCCCAACTGGCAACAAACATCGTAAGATAACTTAACATGGGGTTTAACCCTTGCCTATGCTATGTAGCTATACATACACTTTGAGATAAGATCTACAGGATTCTGGCTGCAAAGACTTGTTTGAACTTTGTTTTACTTCTTGGACCATATTAAAACAATGTTTCCAACTTAAACACTTCTATCATGGTATCAAAGTGTTTCAAAGACATCTCATAGACACAGTAACATAAAAAATACGTAAATGTACCTTATTTTGAGAAATGTCTTTGTGTTCTTTCTTCACATTCAAAATCTTGCAGTTCTATCACTTCTACTTTTGTGTCCCTTTTTTCATACCGCAGATTAGAAGGCACATGAGGGTCCTGGAAAGGTCCATGTTCATCTTCATGATACCCACTGTAGAACGGGAAGCTACCATGAGCACTGTGGCTACACAAAGAAGGGTGAACTGCTACAGTTACTGAAGCAGAGGCAGTCACAGTAGTAATAGGCTGGCAGTATGAAGGCACTGAAGCACCTGCTGGAGCAAAGGCAGGTTTCCTGTTGTTCTGTAAGTGGGGTCTATGCCCTGAGCGTTCTCTGGTATTAGGCTCACTATGCTTTTCAGCAGAAGATTCAAAAGCGTCTTTGCGAGGTCGATATGGAGGTGGACATAAACCATCCCTTGGTTCCAACCTCTGATTCCTGCTAGGTCGCCATGGTTGCTGAGGTCTGGCGTCTTGATTAGCTTGTGTCCTCTGACTTGACTGGCTCTGTCTGGTATCTGGTATAACAACCTATGGAGATGAAGAAAAACACATAACTTACTAAAGAAGAACAGCTTCATCTACTACATCCTCAACACTCCTTCCTTATTTTACACCGATTTAGCTTTAGATCTTAGCATAATACTGTTGACTCTGTTGTCCAGGCATTACAATGGCCATCAACGCAGTACAAAAATAAATGCATGAAGCTGACATCTCTACCACACATGTCACACAAATTCAAAACTGCAATACTCACAGAACACCTAGGGAAGACTGGGTTTTTAGTGGCCTGCACAATGACTTGATGAGGTGGTACTCCAGCAGACTGTTGAGCCTCATACTGACGTAGCTCCTCACTGATGCCAGATACTGTTGTCTGAGAACCTGATTCAGAGTCTGAAGAATCGGATCCAGCATGTGCTTGTCGTGTAAACACTGGAAACGTCACAACATTTGGTGGAGGAACTAAGCAGGGAGTGGGCAGCCGGTCTCTTCCATCAGTGGGGGAGACCTGTTTTTTTTTTTTTAAACAAAATATATTTCTGAGATTTAACTGACTTTTACCTTTGCTGTACATGTGGGCTAATTCTGGGTTACAATACATCAACATTCACTATGTAGGCTGCAACTGTGCACTAACCCTTTGACTTCAGTACTTTCAGCTTTGCTAACACAGAGCAAGTATAGAAGCAAGGAATTATGGGGGACATTTATCAATTTGGTCACATTGTCAGCATCTTTTGCACTTGTAGAATGTGCGATAGTTTGGTGGTCTTTTAGGCCTCATTCAGACAGGGCGTGCATGCCCGTAAACGGGCCGATCATGGGAGAAACAGGTGCTGTGTGTAATTGTACGCAGCAGCCTGTTCTTCCATATGGGAGGACGTGGCTGTACGCTGTCGTGCGGGTCCGGGTGTCAGCACTTGGACACACACTGAGCGGAATTTATCAAAACTGAAGCAGACAAAATCCGGAGCAGCTGTGCATGGTGACCAATCAGCTTCATTTTCAAAGCTTAAAAGGAGAACTATGGGGTTAAGGCTTTTCCCCATAGTTCTCCTTAGGGTAACGGGAGGACACAAACTAGCGTCCTCCAGTCACCCTAGGCTCAGTATACTGAGCGCCGCAGCTGAAGCGGATCCCGACAATTATGTCTGGATCCGCCCAGCTGCGTGAGTGACAGCTGGCTCTGCCTATCTAGAGGCAGAGCCAGCTGTGCCCACCCCCGTCCGTTCTGCCAGTCAGCGCTGGAGGTTCGGAGCGGGGAGGGGGGAATCCAGCTCCTCCCCTGTCACGGCACAGAGCCGTGACAGGATCGAGAGGTGAGCGAACGCCGGTATGTGTTCGCTCACCTCCCGCTCTACTGAGCCGACTTGTGACAGTCTCATTGTCACAGGTCGGCTAGAACTATGAGGTGAGTGAAAAGCACTCATCTCATAGCTCTCCTTTAACTGAACAAACTGAAGAGAGAAGCTAATTGGTTGCCCTGGGCAACTTCTCAAGATAGTGTCTGCTCCAGTTTTGAAAAATTCCCCTCATTGTCTTTAATATCAGTGATTTGAAAGAACTGAAGCCAGAGAGCCAAACAACTATGATTTTCGGGAGGCCAGCACTAGCAGCCTCCTGTATTCCACTTATGACTTAAAGTGATATTAAAGCCAATTTTTTTTTTTTAATTTCTCCTTTAAGGAGACCCTCCTTTGCTGGAGGCTGTTGTTTTTTTTTAAAAGTACTTCTTTCCTCGTTTTCAAGTGTGTCTCCGCCATGCTCCCTCCGGTCCCCTCTCCTCTGCAAGAATGCGGAAGTGTTGTATAATACATCACTTCCGCATTCTTGTGTCACTCTCCAGCTTCAGAAGCTGGAAAGAAGCTGATGGAGCAGATCTGTGCTTCATCAGCTTCTTTTGGGGGGTCCTAGGTGACATTAGGGGTCTTGGAGACCCCTGATGTCTCCATAAAGAGGACCTGTCACATATTTTGCTATCACATAAGGGGGTTTTATTAGCCCCCGTATGTGATAGTAATAAAGTTTAGTGGAAAAAAAAAAAAGGAAAAAACAATTTAAGTTCCTCACTGAAAAATGGCCTGGCCAGGAAGGGGGTCTAAACACCTGGTCTTGAAGTGGTTAACTAAGCCCATAGCACAAATAAACAGCACTGTCATAAGAATGTGAATAAGGAAATTCTTACCTCAGGGTAAGGTCCAAAAAATGAAAGGAGAACTGGGAGCAGCACCAATCCATTCAGAACTCCGAGGAGGGTTAATATTGCCAGAACAGCAAAGAAGTATCTGCAAGATGGAGAACAGCAAATTAGGGATCTTCGTAATTAGTATAAAAAAAACCCACCAATTAGGACTGTATGAAACATGCATTTATAAGGCCAAATAATCTACACACAGCAAGACAAAACAGTAGGATTTAGTAACACATATTTGAATTTACCTCAGATACTGCATTCCACAATTCAGTGTTAGTTAGGGGAAAAGAAAATGGTTCTATTGTTAGGAAAACAGAAGGCTTGAAAGATTACTTCTATATATCAAAATGTAACATGTCAATGAAAATTAAGAAATGAGGTGAATTCAGAAAGAGAGACACACACACACTAACAGCCCCCTTTCTGCCTATTAGCCAGAACCCAGAAAATTATAACAAATGAAGAAAAAGAGGATCATTTCCACAAAAATAGTCTTTTTTGGAGGGGAAAGCCACTTCTACTGCTGCTAATCCAATGTGAACTGTTAGTGAAACTTAGTATAACAATCTCCAATTAAACATCTAGTTTGTCAGGTAAAAGTTTTTCTCCTTTTCCCCCCCTCTGTTCTTTAATGACTATACTCCTCTTAGAATTCAGCTACTTTCAGTTTTACCACATAGCTTAAATTGCAAACCGTTTTGAGCAGGGAACCAGCTTTTTGTCCAAGAAAATGCTTTCCATTCTATGGTATGCCTCAGCATTGTACGTAGTAAAAGGCTCCACAATGGCTGAGCTGCATTGCAGGCTAATCTTTTGTTGATCAATTTAGCATCTCTGAATACTCTTGTTTTGAGTCAGCCAATTCAAACATAAAGGCCAAAGTAATGGGGAAGAGGAAGGTAGTGCACAAGTGCATGTTGTTTCCCACCACTGAGGCTTATGGTCAGCGATTTCAGAAATATTCAGGGATTACTCCGAAATAATCTAAAAATAAATGTTATTCAGGCATTTTCCATGTAGCACTTGAGTGTATTGACTTCCTGTTTTCTTGTGCAATAAAACAAGTGGGAAACTTGGTAAAATGTCTGTCTGATTCATGAGAATGAAAAGAATATAGGCCGGCAATGGAGTCCCTTTTTTATACAGGTCAAATGTCTATTTAAAATTGAACAAAAGGGGTTAACTAAGTCTTGGCACAAATACAGCCCTTGTTTTCCACTATCATTTTTGGATGAAATCATATAAATAACCTGGTTCTGTAAACATCTTGGAAAATCTTAACTCCATTAGCACAATCAGCAAGCCAATGTCCTATTCAAATGAAAACCAAGTAGAACTTGAAAACTGGGATTTGTATCAACAATAGACCCCAGAAACATTTGCATGTCATCCATCTAGCACTAGCGTAAACAATGCGATTATATTACTGTGCTCTCTTCATATACAATGTCTCTACGTTTACTCCATTTTAGTGAAAAACACTGTTCATCTAATCTTCCTGTCTTTCCAAAAGATTTGGAATTCTGGTATTCCCCTGGAACAAAAAAAATAACCTGTGATCACTCTACATCTGTCCCAAAAAAAAGACCCAGATTTCACATACGCATATTTTGTTGGCTGCGATAGGCTGAAAAATGCCCCAAGTTTCAGGGATACTTTAAACCCTTGGTTCTCAACTAGTGGGTCGTGACCCCCGTGTTCAGTGGGTCGCCGTGAGCCTTCCACTTTTCTAGGTGAGAGGCTTCTCAGCTTCCCCCTAGTCAGCACTGTCAGTTCTTGTGCCAAGCAGGCATTCAAAATATGTGTCAGCTTGAGGTGGGGGTGGGCTGGGGGTATGGCTGTGAGGGAGCTCCATCCATACGTGCATTGCTTACAGCTCACTTGCATGTCCTATAGTGGTGCCTGGACCGGATTACGTCACATTCTGGCTCCCGCCACCTCTACAGGGTGCAAGGAAGCTGTACAAGCAATGCAGATATGGATGGAGCTCCGTCACAGCACAGCAGCCCACACTGGACCCCAGGCTGAGAATCCACTCCAGTTCTCATAAGGTAGGGAGACTGGGTTGTTCTTAAAAAAAAAAAATTAAATTAAAAATTTTGGAGTGTGTGTGTGAATGTCTGTGAGTGTGTGAGACTGTGTATGTATGTAGAGCTGCAGCTAACGATTATTTTCAAAATCGATTAGTTAGTCGATTATTAGGTTCGATTTAATCGGTTAATTGGATAAACCATAAAAGAGAGTTAAAAAAAAGGCTCCAGTGATGGGACTACTAGTTTGTATTGAGGTTGTAGTCCATCACAGGAGCAAGATTGGAGCGGTGGAAGTAAAAAAGAAAAAAGATAGTGTGGTGTGCAATATAGTGAAATGGAAAGTGTAAAATTATACAGCAATGAATGCAGAATACCACCAGCTATAGAGGAATACAACAAATCCCAGCAATAGTACATAATAGCTGGCGGCATTCTGCATTGCGCTGTATAATGTACTATTGCTGGGTTTTGTAGTCCTCTATAGCTGGTGGTATTCAGCATTGCACCACTGTATAATGTTTTATTGTTGGGATTTTTTGTACTCTTCTATAGCTGGTGGTATTCTGCATTGCGCTGTATAATTGCTGGGATTTGTATTCCCCTATACAACGCAATGCAGAATACCACCAGCTATATAGGAGTACAACAAATCCCAGCAATACATTATACATACAGTGTATAATGTATTGCTGGGATTTGTATTCATATGTATAATATACAGCACAATGTACCATCAGCTATAGAGGAATACAAATCCCAGCAATACATTATAGAGCACCACGTGTGGAAAAGCTTACCTGAGCAGTCTTCCAGCAACTTGCTTCTGAGATCGGACCTGTCTATCGGCGGCTGTCATCACCCCACACCTGCTCCTCCTTACTACATCTCCCTGTGCGTCCCTGTGCCGATCGTGGATGTGGGTGGGCGGTGAGTGTGAGGCGGGGAGGAGGTGCGGCGTGTGGATGCGGGCAGGCGAGTCTGGCAGCGGCGAGCGTGAGGTGGGGAGGAGGTGCGGCGCACAGCGTGTGGAGCTGTGAACAGGGCCAACTGATCGGAAGCCGATTAATCGATTATTTAAAAAGTTGACAACTTTTTCAATAATCGATTATAATCGATTATGTCGATTAGTTGTTGCAGCCCTATATGTATGTGAGTGTTTTTGAGGTCCCGTCCACACTAGTACAGTGCATTAACGAACTGTACCATGCAATCGCACCTACCGTGCATTTTGGTGCAGGAGGTGTGTTGCGTTGCTATTCATTTTAATGGTACGCCAAGAACACATCCCACCCATAGTTCGTACGCCCGTATTGAAATGTGCAGTACCCTAATGCCATGCATTCCAGTGCAGTGCGACTTGGGTCTCGACTTAATGACCATGGACAAATGTGGGTCCTGAGGTTACACAGCTTGAGAACCACTGCTTTAAACTAACCATTAAACCCATGACACCATGCACTAAATCCCTCCTCCACTTCAGCTGCTTACTTAACTCCATAGCGCTGCTGAAGCCTCCCCCAGTGTTGCACTAAGCCCCCTTTGATTTAAATGGGATTATAAATCAAGACTGGAGATGCCCGGTATGTGTCTCCATTCAAATAAATGAGGATTTAATTTCATTAGACATGCTGTAAACACAGGATAAGGCCATGGGAGTAGTATGGAGGTAAGTAAGTAGCTGGGGTATTGGTGGGAGGGAATTATTGCAGGTTAGCTTTAGGAGGGGAGGTTTGCAAAAGTTTAGTTAAAAGTATGCCTGTCCTTAAAAAAGAAGTAAAGACAATCCTTTTTACAATTCACGAATGTACTCCTGGGACCCAAAGTCAGCATAATGGGGGCTTCAGCCTGTTATCTGCTGACAGATAACAGGCTTAGCCATGGTGCAGAGCCATGGTGCAGCCGAGAAGGATTCTGACAATGTTGTCGGGATCCACCTGGATGCCTGATTGGCAGTTGGCTCTGTCTCTCTAGAGCCAGAGATAGCTGTGTTCACCCTTCTCATGTCTGTCTGGAGGAACAGAGAGAGGAGAATCTCTTCAGAGAGGGTGCCACTGCTTTCTGCTGGGAGGAGACTGTAAGCTGAGCAATAAGTGGTTTCATGATCGTCCAGCTCTCGGTATAGAGCCATCTACGTAATGGAAAGAGCAATATTTACTCTTCCAAAATGTCTCTATTATGAAACAATGCCTAATTTATTTCTAAAGGTCCTTTAAAAAGTGGCTTCTAACTTTGTGCAGAAATGTAAGTCCATGTACACATGTGGCTTTTCTTTGTTTTATGCATGTTGGTCACATGTCTGTAAACAGGAAGAATTTCACAAGCCCATCCTCCACTCGGATTTACTCCCCGGCCTAATTTCTTTTCTTTTTTTTGCCACGGCAGCTGATCACAATGAAGCAGTGTTACATCTAAGATTAGTCATTTTACAGAGCTCCACAGGTTGTTTGTAATAGAGGGGGATCAATTTCACTGCACTTATCAAATTCCCTTCAAAGAAAACCTCCTCAGAGCTGACAAACTTACATTCTTAATGAAATCCACAAGAAAACAGCCTCCCTCTTAATTCCCTGCAGAACCCCCCTGAGAACTTAATGCCATCTACTAAACGTGACTGATAGTTTTGCAGCTCAGCCAACAGAGCATTGTTTTGTGCACACATAGATGAGGCAGAAAGGCATGTTAACTATATATGATCATTACAAAATAACTACATTTTATCAGTCCTTGTAGTTCATTTTTGTTCTGTTTGAGGGATATTTGTGCACATTACCTGACAATAAAGTCAAACTCAGATCCAGCTAACATGAGGACTCCCAGGAGAGTTGAGACCGCTCCATCCAGCACTGGTGCAAACATGTGTTCCAAAGCCAAAACTGCCCTCCGGTTCTTATCACCAATGGCCGTGAGAAATGCCTGCAAATGTACAGTTAAAAATATAAGTCTGGATGCTACAATGAGGAAGGCCTGAATAGAATACAAAATAGTTACTGGTAGGAATAAAACTTATACTAAAGATACCTATTAAGACACAACCACCTTGCCTGAAGGAGTCAGGAAAGCTGTCAGAAGAGAAGAATAGGGGCTGTCATTCTTCAAATGCTGGTTGCTTGGATGTCATTACGGTCCTCTGGTTAATATACTTGTCGTGAACCGGAACAAGTAAGCAAAAAAGAACTTCTAATATTTCTCTTTTTTCCCAATCTGCACCAGGTTGGTGACTTAGAAAGTTAATAAAGTCAGAGGATCATCCTAACAGTCAAGCAGCTAGTGTTTTCAAAAGGAGGTCGGAAATGGCAGCCTCTACATTTTATGTATTACAGATTTAAATTAAATTCCACAGCTCAAGGTCCTTGTTGTGTGATTACTGTGTGACATATCACCATCATTCATTTAGAATTCCTTTCTCACTCAATGAATATGGGTGAGATAAGAACTGATTAAACTGACTGGGGTAGCAGTTAATGCCCTTTACATGAGATGAATATCAGCAGATTGGGATGCATATATAAACTGGCCTTTATCATACATGCTCCTTTTGGTAGGAATGTCAGTACCTACATCTCCTTCAGATATAGACTTACCCCTGCCTCATCACCCCGGAAAGGGGACACAGCTTTAATGAGAAGGGCTGGAGCTTCATGGCAACAAATGTGTGAAACCATTTTGCAAATTTCCTGTTAGCCAGGTTCAGAGCTGCCCTCCACTGATAGTCTAGCTTACAGCAGCTGTCATTTTCATTTTTGAGAGGAATAGGTTCCTATATAACCAAATGCACTAGATAAACGGTAAGGGTATCGGTGCTTCTAGCCCATGCTTTCGTCAGGAACAAAAGATGTTTTAAGCTTTTAACAGAATCACTAAGTCATACAGCAACATTCAATTTTACTGCTGAACCAATAATTAATAAAGAGGGCAGTCTGCTCTGTACAGTTATTCTTCTGATAATAGGAAACTAAAAGGATGTAAAAGAAAGAGATTGCTTTGTTTGCACAGGATATAAAGCATGAACACTCGTGGGTAAATAAAGGGGTTTGGGCCTCATTCACACTGCCGCGTATATGCCCGTACGCGCTTATTGTACCACATGCGGCACATGCAAATAAATGGCTCCATACACATAGCTGCGTATGGAGCTGTATATTTGCGTAGCGTAAAAATGCGCAAAAACAGAACGGAACCGAGATGCGTCCAGGCAGCGCATTCACGGATGTTTGCACGCGTATACGCATAGTTCACTAAAATTTCTATTACGAATGATGCACTCTGGGATTGCATATAGTGCACGCATATACGCGCGTATATATACGCAATATACAATTTTGCTCTTGCGTTGTGTGTGAAATGAAGCCTTAAAGTTATGCTTATTCCCCTAAACCTCACTAGTCATAGAGCCGTTGAAGCCCTATAACAGGGGTACTGAATAAAAATGTAAGTAGGTCTGGTGAGTAAAATCTTCATCGAGGTCCGAATCGTGGTCAGGACAGAACGGTCATTCAGTCCGTGTCCATTACGCAGTCTGCCATTTAGGCTGCATTCACGCCAGCAGCTGCACTACAACACAAAGCTGCTGGTGTGTGTTTCCAGGCACAGTGCTGATCCGGGGGCATCAACAGTGGGTTTTTTTTAAAATATACATTTTTTGTTAGAACTTACACCCATACCCAACACCCCCCCCCGTTTACATACATGTGCATGCCCTAAGCGCATGTGTTCATTCGAATCAGAAGGGGGGAGGGGGGGGCGGGGTGGGGGTTGGTTTTAAATTTTTTTCATTACTTTGTTCTTTTTTATCACCTTTTTCATTTTATTTTTTCATTTTTATTTGTTTCACTTATCAACTTTTTTATTTTTATTTTTCACTTCAATAGACAATCAAGCACAGAATTGTGCTTCATCATCTGTTCACCTGGCACTTCAGCCGGTTTCTGACAGCTGTGAAGCTGCATGCTCTGTGAGTTCTGGCTGCCAGTGGCTGCACTGGCCTCAGAAGCCAGACAGCCATAACGCAGTGCAGGTCGGCGAACGCGGTCCTTATAAGACTGCCTCTTGGTCCGTCATTATGGGGTCCCTATCCTATAGTGACACTCTATATAGATAATACATTTCTACACTGCAGTTGAATTATTAAAAAGAAGTACTGCATATTACATGCTAAAATCCTAATGTCATTTTAGGAATCCAGTTTATCTCTAACTAAGCAGACAAAACACATTGCAGATCAAATATTTACAAGTTCATTTTGCAAACAAAGATAATACCATATAAAATCATAGCAACTAGTATAAACAATGTATGCAGAGCACAGAACTATAACAAAAAACATTCCCAAAGGAAGTATCAGAAAACTAAACAAAAGGAGGACAGAAAAAAAAGAAAAACAATATAAGAAAAGCAAAAACAGAACTTACCAAGGCCACATGTACAGTAAATTCTACCCCAATGCCCACTGAGGCTACGAGGATCACCACAGGCACAGCACTTAGCTTGATACCAATAAGACCCATCATCCCAAAGAGCTCCACTGTCATAAGGGCCAGTACCATAACCTGCAAGAAAAAAAAACAAGAAAAACATCTCAGCTTTCTTTCTTAGCATACGTGCTACGGTGCAAAATAACACAGAAGACTGCAGTTTTTTATAAGCCTAATCTGCAGGGGTAATATGTCTGACATGAAGTGAATGCCTTGTTGATTTTTTGCAGCACATCATGGGTCAGCAGCTCTTTCAAGACACTGATTACAGTACTGCATTCATCCACAAGAGGGACTGTAAATATAACATTTGACCTTGTTCGCCCTCACATCTTCTAATAGACACAACTTTGATGGAAAACTTCTTGGAAAAAAAAAAAAAAAGCTGAACTGCCAATAAGAAACGACTCATTTTTCAGGGTATTTTCTGTAAAATTCTCACCTTAAGGTTAAAATACTAAAATAGGAAGAGGGAAAATGAACAGGTGTTAGGTTGCAGAGTCTCACGGGTTTTAAAATAGTTGGAGGGCCTGGTATAGACAAAGCAAGCAGTGAAGTAAGTTCCACTGGTCAAACTGTGGGGAAGGCAAAGACAGACAGGGGAAGAGGTTGTCTTTCAGCCTTATACACATTTTGTAATCTAATGTGTCTTTCTTCATCATAGAGGTCTTTTTAGTGCCTTTGTTTTGTAACTCACTACCGAGTAGGTGACTTGTAAGACTAAAGTAAGCGCCGAGGTTTGACAAAAGAATCACTTTTCATTAAACTACGCATTGCGCTATTGCACTGCTATATTTTCCCCCACTTTATAGAACGTCAAAGTTGAAGCTTTAATGTGGGAATGAACTAAATTCAAAGTGAAAAGAAGACAGACTCGCAAAATACAGCAAAGGCTATATATGGAAACATCCTTCTGCAGCTTCTCACTATGCAAAGTAATGTTATACACTTGGTTTGGAAATGGTGTAAATGATCAGAGCAGCATTCTAAGTAGACAAAGCTTTCCCTAACAATATTTCCCATGAAACAAATGTCTAAATAGCAGGTTTTAAACGTAGAACCCTAAATGTTACATATAAAATGATTACTGGCATCATCTCAGTACACATTTCAAGTTATTCCTTGCTACTGTAGCAGGCTGGGCACATGAAATTCAATTAGGCTCACGTTAGCCTAATTGAAGGCTAATAAAGTAGTAGCCTGAGTTGAAACTCTACCTTTGCTAGAAGAAAAAAAAGAAAAACAAGGTACTCTACATAGCAAAGAATATTTAGAGCAGGGGTCAAAATTTCAAGTCCTGAGCTACTAGCCCTGCTTTAAGAGTTACTAGCCACCAGTTGCCCACCTAACCCATACTTTAAAACATGGAAGCCCCCTCACCTGCTTGTCTTTCTGCAGGGAGGAGACGAGCAGGCAGATCCCTGGTGATCTGGTGCGATTAGTAAGGTCTGCAGACCCTACTAACCACTCCGTTTTCGACCCGGAGCTCACTGAAGAGCTCCGGCCGAAAAGGAAGGGAGACAGACCAGCAGAAGCAGCTGCTGCTCCCACGAGTCAGGTACTAACTCAAGCCTGACTGAATTTCCACTCGCCTGCACTGCATTTCCACTCGCCAAATGCGAGCAGGCGAGTGGAAATTTTGAGCCCTGATTTCGAGAACCTCATCTAATTTTCTTTTGTTCTGGAGATATTACAAACTGCCTTGACAGAGCACACAATTGTACTGGGCCAGTTGACTCAGATAACCCTTTTGGTCTCAGTGTTGGAGAACATGGCAAGTGTGAGGCACTAGCACCATTTAATCACTGTAAATGTTTATGAGACCATGATGTTTGCCATACACTCCATAAGGTTCACTGGTAAAAGATCAGAGCTAATTGCATGGATATGCAATGTTTCTATTTTTAAGTGAGTTGGGAGTTGAGCAGGCAGTTCACATATCTTTTGCCGCAACAGACAAAATCTAATAGTCTATGGCCAGCTGTAATGTGCAAGCATCCACACTATAACCATGCTATACCCACACTAAGCATAAGATATACTAAAACAAATCTCATTGTAAAAACTACATTGAAATAAATGGCAGTTGCCATACATATATACGGTAGAGCCATGGTGTAAAGGATTAGGTTTTACTCTGTAGCTGCTAACCCTCCCTTCTCTTCTCCTTCAAAGTCGAATAAACATATCATGAATGATGTAACATACTTTATTCCACCAGAGATCCAGACATAAACAAACCTTGCTGGCTGTAGCAAGAGCTATGCCGAAAGGAATTTGACTGCAACAAAGAACCTTATTAACTTACAATGATTCCAGCAGTCCAGGGGTTCAGCAGGAAAAGGGCACACACCAGGAATGTACAGGCCAAGACCACGCTGATGGACAAGAGCAGCCAATGGCGTAGACCAATATATTGTTCCCAGAAGAGGAATGGGTAGCCATTAGGATAACTCGGCAGTCCCAGGCTGGTATAATTGTTGCAAATGGCTCTCACTGTCTCTATAGCTTCCACAAAGTCTGAAGTCTCTCGAAGGCCATTGAGGTAGAAAGGAAACTGGGCATACTCTATTGGCTCAGCTGCATGAACTACAGAACAAATAAACACAGAGATCAATAATGTTCAACATTAAGTAAATTGTTCAAATAAACTCTTGCATTGCTAGGGAAAACACAAACACAGAAGGACTAGGTAAAGCTGTTGACAATGCCCGAGCCAGAGAAATATCTAAGATGAAAAGCTGTTTGTTTTAGGAAATTTAGAACATATGATCATTTAATAGTCTGGAAACCTTGATTTTCCATGCTTCTTTTTTATCATGTAAAAGTAACCTCAGATATACCACAATAAGGGACAAAAAAATGAGATCTACAAAATCCAGTCAATCATAATGCTAGCATTCGGTTACTGTTACTGTGTGTTCCAGACCCTGCAGGGTCATTCAGTTGACTTGCTAAACATGATTTGCCCTATTATAATCTCAACTATAAATTTTCATTAAGACAAGACTTGGCTGGCTGCCACACGGCTCTAGGGTTCGGATACTGTAAAGCACTCTCTTTTTTTTTTGTAACTTTTTATACAGTTGCATTACTGCAAACTGCAACTTTCGAATGCTTCTAAAGTCACTAAATCTTCCACGAAAGGAAAAAAAAAAAAATAGGTAGACATAAATTGTGCAGCTAATTACACTAAGCTAAGTTATAGCCATTTAATTATATATGTTGACCTGTCCTAAACTATGGGGTAAGAGCTAAACATATTATTCGGTTTTAGATTCCTAAATAAGTCTTTTCTAGACAATGAATATAGCTGCGATGATAATTTACCACTATGGCTTATACATATATTAGAGAGTCATTATTACTAAACAGTTTCCGTACCCTTACCTTATAAAATACATGCATACTATTATAGGTAGAAAGACTATTTGTTTAACAACTACTATGTACATCATTCAATTCTGAAACACGATTTTCCCCTCTTAAAAAAAAGTGTGTATAAATGGCTGTCAAATTAAAACAGAGCAGTCTTGAAAAGTGTTCTTGATCTGCACAATGTCATGTAAAAAGCAGAGCAGGATGGAGGAAACCGTTCATAAACAATTTAGGGCCAGAGGCACAGTCCTACTTACTTGTACTGGTTTCAGGCATGTAGTCTGCTTTGTCGTAGATCCACTCTGGTGGATGCGGGCGGATGTTGGCCTGGGAAGCGGCATAGGCTACAGGGTCATTACTCACCCAGGCCGTTAAATAGATGTAGAAAGCATTTGGATGAATGATCCCATCTGCATCCACCAGGCGCTGTTTAGTCAACTGCAGAAGAGACAGAAGTGGAAAGTCGCCACATAAGTGAACTGGGATTAACTCGGATGTCACAGAAAAACCTTTGCTTTGCTAGGAAAGTCTTATTAAGCATAAATGGCAGTTCTTTATTTGATTACAGCAAATCACATGAAAAGTAAACATGGAGTCATTGCCTATGGTAACCAGTCAAGCGTGTGTTGCAGTTTCTAACTTGCATTTGAAAGTTTAAAAAAAAAGCGCTGGAATTGAATTGTTACAAAACCACAGCTTTTATATATAGGGACAATCGCTCCCTAACTAGTCGTAACACAGGCTTTTCAATGTACAGTAAACTCCCAGTTATCCGGTATCCATGGGGATTGGTAGATGCTGGATAACGTTCAGACCCAGATTTTCGGCTGACAGTCCAGTCTTTAAACACTTTAACAACAGCTGCTCTTGAATATTTAATGAATTCTGCTGTTTTGCTGATACTCGCTCCATGGCTCCGAGCGCCAACAATCATCCCACGTTCAAAGGCTGTTAAATCGCGTTGTTTACCCGTATCTTCAGAAAAAAATCACTTCTACTGTCGTGGTAAACAACCTCCTTCCCTATTTATAATGGTCTGGCCCTCTAGTAACTTCAGCGCGAAATTATAGCTAATTTGCCTACAAACGTCAGGTGGTCATAATAATCTGGCCACTCAGTGTAGATTCTGGTTGCGTTAGAGTTACTATTAACTCTCAAGCAAAACAACCCTCCCCGTCATCTGCTGGCTAGATCCTGCTATTGGCTATTTCAAACTGCCATAGCCAATAGCAGGTTGGCTATTGCAAAATAAATTAAGTTGCCAACAAAATTTGTTTTAGTGCACACATGTCTATCAAGCAACCGGCATAGTATGTCCCTGATTTTTTTGTTCTGCTTGCTTGAATGCTGGATATTGGGGAGTTCACTGTACATGTATTGCCTTCCACCAGCTAGCCCCGTAATAGACACGACTAACACCCATCGTGGAACCTATGAGCATTACTTAGGTTTAATGTTCCTGAACACTATACAAGCACCAACATTTCTGAGAGGGGGCCCCTTGCGCAGACAGAGCTGTTTCCTTTAGCTTACATAATTGTATAGGCTCCCATCTGTATTTATATAAACACATTTGCAGATACACCAATTTTGATTTCCACTTCAAGTGATCACATTTAGGAATAAGAGGAGGGG